TCTGGCTGTCAGAAACACTTGCATTAGGTCTACAGAAAGTGAATATTGAAGAAGCAGAAGGTTTGACAGACAGTGACCATAAGATAGTAACAACAGAAATATAGGTAGAACACATAATTGCAAACTGCAGTGAAGCAGAAATCAAACAGAAAGATTGAACAAGAACAATGTACCTATATGAAGAAGCAAAACAAGAAGACTAGAAAGAGTATGCAAGAGAGTTACAAAACCAACTAGAATGGAAAAGAGTGCTAAAACAATTAGAAGGCGATAGTGCAACAACAGAACATAGTACAGAAGTACTAGACCAAATGTGGGATGCAATAGAAAAAGCTATAATTGAAGTGGCAAACAAGCAAATCCCAAAAAAAAAATATTTAATACTAAATTAAGTAGAAAGCAAAACTGGAAGAAAACAATGAAACACAAACACATCACCAAACTTTAGTGAATAATTAAGAAAGCTAGAAGTAAAAAGAACCAGGAAGTAGAAAAGAATAAAGGAGTTGAAATAAATAACAAACTTCAAATCATAGGGAAAAAGCTAGGAGCAACATTGCCAAAACTATACAGGCAATGGTCAGAAGCCTGGATAGATGATTTAAAAGGTTGGCAAAGAATAATTAAGGAAAAAAGAAAAGAGGAATAGGAATGAGCACAAAGAAAACAGATAAAAGAAAATATAAACAGAAGATATGAAATAATTAGAACAGATCAAGGTCAAATGATTGCTAGCCTACTAAATAAACCATACAAAAAGATTGTTCTAGACTGATTTATAATACAAGACAATGAAGAAGTCAACCTAATATCAGAACCAGACACAGTCCTAAATGGTTTGGCAGCTCATTTTAAAAACCAATTTAGAAAATGGAAAACCAAGCTTGAAGAAATGGCAAAAGAATAGAAAAGAGTATATGACCCGAAAAATTGGATTAAGGAGACTTGGTATAAAGAATTAGAAGAAAAAATAGAAGAAAATGAATGAAAAGAAATATTTAGAGAGCTTAAAGCAAATACAGCCCTAGGAATATCAGATATAAGCTATAAATTAATAAAACATGCAAAGAAAAAATCACAAAAGATTTTTAGAGCCTTTGCAAATCTGATATTAGAAAAAGGAGACATACCAAAAAAGTGGAAATTGCACAAATATATCCAATTTCAAAAGATATAGACTAGGGTTACCGTCTAAACAACATCAGACCAATAGCATTAATAGAGACTTTTAGGAAAGTTGTTATAAAACTTGTGACAAAAAGATTAGCCAGAGTGTTCACAGAAAGAAACATACTTAAAGGACCAAATTTTACAGGCCTGCTAGGAAATTCAACAGAGCAGCCAATATACATACTAAACATGATAATAGAGGAGGCACAAGAAAAGAATAAAGAAGTTTGGATTCTGTTACAAGATATGAAAAAAGCATTTGACTCAGTTCCATTAGAAAGTCTAGATTGAGCATTAAAAAGAGTTAAAATCCTGCAAAAAACAAGAAAATATATAAGCAACCTGTTTTGTAATTGGCAACTCAAAATTATTACAGCCTATGGTCTAACAAAAGAAATAACAGCAGGAGACGGAATAGACCAAGAAGAGGGAATTTCACCATTAATTTGGCATCTCTTCTATGATCTATTATTAGAAAGAATACAAGATGATAAAACATTAGGCTATAGAGTAGAATAGAGAATTGCAGAGAAAGTATGCATTGATAACATTACAAGTTACAGGCAAGCAGCAATTGCATATGCCGATAATACAACATGGATTGCGAACAGTAAAGAACAAATATTGAGAATTTTAAGCATTGCAGAAGAGTTCTTTAAAGCAAATAACATTGAAATAAATGGATCCAAATCAAAGCTCATAGTAATGAACATAAGAACAAGAGAGAAAGAAAGAGAAATTATATTTGACTATAGTAAAATAATAGAAGAACCCAAAAACCAATTGTGAGATCACTAGGAATATGGCTAAATAGCCAAATAAGAGAAGTGCGAGTACCCTTATGTCAAGTAAAAATCAGCCTTCCAAACTGCAGATCCGAGGCTCCAGGTCGATACATGGCACGGAGTATACAATTCTGATTGGCCACTTTTTTTATATAAAATATTTTTTTTTTTTTTTTTTTTGCAATTAGTAATCTTTTTTTTTGTTTTTTTTTTAAAAAAAAAAAAAAAAAAATAGAAGACTACAACAATGAAAATTAATAATAGTTATGAATTTGCATTTAATAAACCCTTACTTAATAAAGCTGCCACCTATAACGAAGCTGCTGCTTTTAATAAAACTACTGCCCATAAAGAAACTGTTGCCCTTAATGAAACCACCACCTATAATAAATTTGCTGCTTTTAATAAAACCACTACCCATAACAAAGTTGTCATTTTTAACGAAGCTGCTGCTTACAGCGAAGCTGCTGTTCGCAATGAAGCTGCCACACTTAATAAGATTATACTTGATGAATATGGGTTTAACAAACCTGTGCCTAATAAACTTGATAGCAGTGAAGAAACACAGCAAGAACTTGCCAATATAGTTATAAATTACACTCAAACATGTGCTAATCAATTTTCACTATATATACTTGAGGAACGTGAGAGTTTTTGCAAATTTACTTTGCTACTTAATACATATTGTAGTTGGATGAAAAAAGAGAAGACCACAAAAAATATTAATTTTTTAAAGTTTCGTGAAATTTATAAAAATAAGAATGGTGTCTGGTCTGAATATTATACTTGTTCACAGGCTGGTACAAAACAAATACACACTAATTATATAGAAGGTGGTGTTTCTTAGAAAAAATGACGTGTTCAAAAGGAATCAAAAAAAGTTGGATGCAAATATGTTTTGCGAATTAATTATTAACCGGCTGCCTTTTCTAATAAGGTTGTTGTAGTTAATTATTGGCATAAGCATAATAGTTATATACCAGGTAATCGTGCTGATATTCAATATCTTAAAAAATCCGAAAAAATAATCGCTAGAATTAAAAAATTCGCTTGTCAAGGTTTGTCTCTTTCATTTATTCGCCAACTAATGAAAGCTCCAGAAGAAGTAATTGAGAAGTATATATATATATTATTCTAATATAGAATATTTAATAAAGTTCTTAAATTTCCTAATTTGACAGGTTAAAATTTGATTTATGTATTTTTTTTTAGTTATTTTACTTCAAAGGATGTTGTTCCAAATAGAGATGAGCTATTTACATATGAAGATATCTATAATGTAATATACAAGGAGATTCATTTAAAATATCATTATGATAATCTTGATGTAATAAATGTGCAACAATGGGTTAAGGTTTTGAGTGAAAACCAAATGAATTTAAATAACTTAAACGATCCTATTCTTTCGTGCTTTCAAATGTGCAACCAAAATCAAAAGTTTTTATAGGATTTTATACACAATAGCAGTTTAAACTATATCAAAAGTATTATGAGGTATTATTTATTTTAATTTTAAATTATTGAATCAATTTAATTTAATAAATTGTTAATTTATTTCAATAATAAAATAAATTAAAAAAAAAAGATTATTCATATTGATTCCACTCATAATACAAATTGTTACAAGTATGCACTCTTTACAATTCTAATTTGCCATTCTAATAGCAGTCATGGTATACCTTTAGCATAATTAATTACTGAATTAGTTAGCAGTGAAGCAATCAAAGTATGGTTAAATGCATTAAAGAATGACAGATGGGTGAACCTAGTTAATGTGATGTTGGATAATGATGATGCTGAAATTAATGCAATTCATAAAGTTTTTACATCAGCAAATGTCTTTTTGTGTTGGTGGCATATTAAATGTGCATGGTGGTGATAGATTTGCAAGTGTGTAGAAGCAGAAAAACATGATGACTTGTTTTATGATTTAGAATACTTATTAAATATTAAAGATGAAAATAATGTAGAATTAGCAGTTAGTAAATTTGAACAAAAATAGAAAAATACATCAGCACTACAATATTTTAATGCTCAATATCAAAAAAAAAGGATATAAAATAAATTTTTTTTAAAAAAATTATTCATAGCATATTCAATGCATTACTATTTAAAAATTTTTTTTGTTAAAAATTTTATTTTAATTCATTATAGAACTTTGGATTAATTGCTATCAGTAAGACAAATTACACAGAATTAATACAAATAACTATATCAAAGCATATCATAAAAAAATAAAGTATCTTTTTTTTTTTTTTTTTATTGTTAAGGTGAGGTCATGCCCTCAAGTCTTTATTAGTATATTGGTTATAGCTAGTACA